GAAAGTGGGCTCGACTCTTAGAATAGCCAAAATGTGCAAAATTGACTTATTTGCATCATACTTTATTCAGTATGAAGCTGTCGCCCTCTACTGTCAGTTAAGAAGAATACAGGCTTATGCATGACATGTGATTGGACTCTGGGTTGATATATTTTATTTTATTTTATTTGTAGCATGTGTAAAAGCCTTTTGTGTATGTCTATGTGTGTGTTTTTCAGGCTGAGGAGGACACACAGAGTGTGTTATCAGTGCAGAGCTCGATCAGCCACAAACAGCAGCCGCCAGCCATCAGATCCAGCCTCAGACTCGGGGTAATAAAAGTACTTTTAATTCACAGATAAAATCAACACTGAGGTTGGAGCAGCCATGCTTTTTTTCATTTTTTCACACCATCACACTTTTCCTGATGTAAGAACGCCAACTTTCCATTCTGTCCTCAGCAAGACTAAACATCAGTTAAATTTGTAACTAACAGAAAAAGTATATTTAATCAATTATCAGTAATTTTTTATTTATATTACATTGGTTGGATTGCTCTTATTGGATTCTTTGTCTTATCATCCTATGCATCTTACAAAATGTGTTTTAGTACTTGTTGCATGTGGTGGTTTATAGTTAGATATCTTATCTCTAGAGATGATATTAATGTGATGTAAAACACCAGAATACAACCACACGGGTAATTATGCTGGTACTTGTCCATTACAGGTTAAAACATGAATACGATTACCCGCAGTCTAAATCAAACCCTGGTGACTAAACAATTACAAAAAACACTAAAAATGAAAAAATATATATATATATTCTGTTGGTTTATTTTACTGAAGTCTTTTAATTGTATATTTAGTTTTTTTATTACTCAGTAATTGAATGTGTATTACACAGATTTTGGTTCTTATTTTATTGTATTTAGTTCAGCTCTTCTTCATTTTTTTTTTTTTGTCATTTTGCTTCAACAATAGTTGTTTTATTTCATTACTGGTTGTTTCCTGTTTTGAACGCCGGAACAAGAACTTTTGGGAGAGACCAAACATGTTCATCTCACCTTAAATACTAATTAAATCAGACGAAGCATTTATCTGCTTTTTTTTTTTCTTATACCTTACTCTTTAAGAGTAAAGTAAAAGAGTAAAGTGCAGTTGAAGATTTTTAGAAGATTTTCAGTAACATAACTTTCCCTAACTTGTTGTCATTTGCCTTTTAATCCCTCTCTAACTTTTAGTACAAAAAAAATGTCGCTTTCATTGCAGTTTTTTTTTTTATTTTATATATATGACACTGGGAGAGTGAAACGAGAAAAGATTTATTGAATCTGAGATTTCTCTCAAGTGTTGTTTATCTATACAGTTCAGGGTTATTCATTTCAGAACTGCTGCTGACTGAATTGACGAGCTGACGAGCATATTTTTTTGTGTGTATGTGTCTGTGTGTGTTTAAGATTTACTCACAACAAAACTTAACTGTGATCTTAAGGATGTGTTTAGGCAACAAAAAATATGAATTAAAATTAAATCCTTGCATCTGTGTAGGAGGTCACTCCGATGGAGGAGGAGATGCTAAGTGTGGAGAGGAGAGAAGAGCAGAGGAGGTGCTGGTTGGAGGAGCTGGACCGTCAGAGAGAGGAGATGACTGAGCGCAGGAGACGAGAGAAAGTGCTGCAGAGTCAGGTACAGCGTGGACACGGCACAGACCAGGCAGGTTTGAGAGGTCAAAGTTGTCCCCCTGAGTCTGGTGTTGTTGTGTCTGCAGGTGGAGGACCACGAGCTCTGGGCTACACATTTTGACTCGCTGCAGAGGAGGCCGCCTGTCCAGCCTGCAGTTTCATCAGCGCTGCCACCGGCTCAGTTCAGCAGCTCTGAACGGGGAGAGTGGGAGCCCTTGTCAAGCCTTTCCCTCATCTGGGATGCTACGAGCAGCTGTGGGGCAGACAGTGTCGCAGGAAACAGTGTGGATACAACCCGTGGGTACCCAACCAGGACCAGGTGGGAAGGAACGTCTTGTCAAATATTTAAAAGACTCTTTGTACACGATCCATGGTGACTTATTTGAGATGAGCTGCAGATGTATAAGTGTATATATTTAGTTTTTTTGTTTTCATGTGGTACGTACAGCTATCTGAGGACCATGACCTCCCTGTTGGATCCTGCCCAGATAGAGGAGAGAGAGCGGAGGAGGCTAAAACAGCTTGAACAGCAGGTAGGAGGAGGCACAGAGAAGAGATCAGTGAATGTTTTTCTCACCAAGATTCCCTAAACGTTATCTTTTCCTACCAGCGAGCTATCGAAGCCCAAGTGGAGGAGCGTCGTCTGCAAAGGGAACGAGAGGAGGCGAAGAGGAGACAGGAGGAGGAGGAAGAAGAGAGGAGGGTGGTGCTGGAAAGGGAAATGCTGCAGAGACAGTATGAGATGGACACACTGAAGGAGAGGGAAAAGGTCCGAGACAGACTATTATACAGAAACATTTACGTAAACTCTCTGCACTCCTTTATTTCTTATATTTTCTGTTAAACATTTTCTGACGAGGATGAAGCTAACTGTACTTATCTGAAACTGTTTCATTGTGTTCTTCATCTTTAGGAGCAATCAATCAATCAGGAGGAGCAGCTAAAAAAAAGCAGCCATGATGGCAGATTGCATCAGGAACTGGAGTCCAACGGTCAGTAAGACTTCTGCAGTGTCTTTGCACTTTAGATCTGAAAATATGCACCAAAAGTATATTTTTACTCTGCCTGCTCAGTAATGAATCAATGCTTTGAAGCACAGGATTCAACCACATGGTAATGCTGCTAAAAATATAGAGTCTGGGTCCAAACATACATATCTTTTATTCTACTGAGTGGCAGAAGTACAGAACGTGGCCTCGGAAATAGTTTGCAGAGTAAATCAATGCCAAACAGTAGATCAAACCACTGTGAGGATTATGGAGGGAGTCATTTTCTTAAAACTTGAAATGTAATCCACTTCTGCCATGAACCAAAACTGTTGCTGAGAGACTGATAAACAGCAATGAAAGTGATTTCCACCCACAGGAATTAGTTTCTTTAGTACCCTACCAAGGAACCAACTCAGTGTGCTCATTTATGTTTAATGTTTTCTGGTTTCTGACAGAAGAGAGCGTTTCACTCCCAAACTGTTTATTAAACACACCTGCTTCAGGATTTGCTCCCCCCTGTGTAGCACTGGTGACAGCTGATTAAAATAAATTGACGTGCAGAAGATGTTGAAGTAAACATGTTTGTAATAATCAGCTCTGTGTGTGTGTCTGTTTGTGTTTTCAGCAGTTACCAGGCAGGCTGAAGATTTGGAGGACACCAGCACTTCGGTTTCCTCTTACAAAGACGCTGCTGTACAGACAGGTAACCCATCTAATGCTACTACACCCACTTACACTGCTGCTGTGGGAGACAGTATGTCTGCGTCTCTCAAGTCTATCTGCACTGAGCCACTAAAAAAATCTGTTTCCATGTTTGTGAGATTGAAATGTTTCAGTGCAGCATCAAGGTGGAGTAAAAAGAGCTTTGACTCCTCAATTAGAGCAGAAAATGCACTGTAACTACCAGTTTACTTTCTAGTTTATGACTAAATTAGCAAGATTTAATTAAAGTTGACCCATTCTGCCCGTCTTCAGATTTTTCTCTCTAGAGAAGCTTTGCATGATGTACAGTTATAAAAAAGTTCCTTTTTATCCTTTACTGAGCCTTGGTGCAGCTCCTGAGGTCAATCCTCTGTCTAAAACAGAATGTTTTAGCTCATCTCCTTTTTAAGACCTTTAGGCTTCCCATTGCCGAAAGGTTTGAACAGCAAGCAAATTTGGCTTCTGTGGTCACAGTCGGAGCTGTGTGTCTGATATGACCATATTAGGGACATCCACTCTGACGTCATTCATATGTAAGTGTAGGAAAACAGAACTGTCTGAATTCTGCTGGAGGTGATGTTATTGTTGGAAAATGTGTCCATGTTTAATATGAATATCCATGATTGTCTCTCTCGCTCTTTTGTCCTCTCTTTCTATGGGTATCTAATACCTTTGCAGTATTTTATGTTTTCTGTTTTTCTACAAGATAAATGAGTAAAGAGGCTCTCTGTCAATATATTGATAAAGTTGTAGCGGTGTCATCTTTACCTCTTAGGTCCTACAAACTTGAACAGGCAGACTCAAAATTTGTTTAAATGATTCTCGATTTTTTTTCCCTTTGTTTTTGCTTTCATTGTGTGAAGGAGCAATATTTCTAGAAAGCTGCTCATTATTTCCTGTACAGTACAAATCATTTTTTGGTTCAGCCCTATTTAATATTTGCTGAAAGGCCTCACATCTGTATGGTTTTTGTTTATCCCTCTCTCTGTGCAGAAGCTGGTCCTTCTCTGCCGCTCAGAGCTCAGACTCCAGATGTCTCAGCGCAGCCTCCTCCATCTCTGCCCACTGCTGCTCCCCCTCCAAACAGCAGGAGCAGAGCGTTGAGAACAGGGAAGGAGAACATTTGTCTGCCAGCAGGACGAGACCCATATGAGCCGTTTGCCAGGACAGAGAAGAGCAGGAGGGACAAGAGGAGACCTGAGTGGAACACTCAGAGGTAGAAACTCCTAGACCATCACACTCTTTAGTACATCTGAAACAGGGATTGTATTTATATTATTTTAAAAATCTCTCCCTACACATGCTCTGCTTCAGGCCAAACCGTCAATTCGTTCCAGCCTCAGAGCGTTACCCAGCTGCTCTGCAGAGGAACAGACAGGAGAGTCGACTAAAGAGGCAAGCTGAGCTCCTCGCTCTGCAGGAGAGGACCTGTCTGCCGAGGACTGACCCTCCTCTTCCTCCTCCACCCCAGGAGCTTCGCCTGTGCCCCGACATCATGCAAACCAGAACCAGTCCCACCAGGAAGGTAGCCCCCCCCCCCCTTATACCAGCTTCTTAAAAATGAAGACTTTTGTTACTTCTAGTTTTCTCTGCTGGCTGGAGGTCATTTGTAACCCTCCCAGCTGCAGGTGGATGTGTGTGTTGATGACTGCTGCTGTTTCAGGTGGAAACCAACTCCAGAGGGCACATCATCTCCACAGGCTTAAACACTGAAAGGTGAGCAGCGGACAGTAGACACCAATCAGAAGGTTTTAATATTCAAACAGATTCTGAAAGTTTTTTATTTTTTTAGGAGAATGAAAAATTTCAGGAAAAAAAAAGTTTGTGCAGTTTGTAACCAGAAAGTCTAATTTTTATTAATTAGTGCAGCAGCTGCATGGCGGGGTTGGGACTCCCTCTTCAAAACTGTGTGGCCACTACAACTATGTGCTTAGTTTTAGTCTGTGTGGTGAATGTTGTAGATGTTTATTGAGACTTGAATGTCAGTGTTCTGTGTATTTTAATACACAAAATGATAAAAACTTACCTGCAAACTCACTCTTTAAACTAACATAAACTGAAAAATAAGACTAACTAAATTGAATAAACTAATAGAACAAATGGAAAATTGTTATAAGATTGTATTTTCAGCCAGTTTTCAGGTAGTTTGGTTGTGCGTTTTATTCTAGACTAAAAAATAAGAAATGTAAAGGGCTTTTTCATGTTTTGTTTTGTTTTTTTGTCCTCCAGAGGGCGCTCTCCTCCTGTCCCTGCAGTTAAACACAGAGCGCAGAATCAGCATGCCTCCAATACTCTTCCTCTTGTCTCGGAGTTCATTCCTTACGTCAGGACTGATGAAGTCTTCAACCTGGACCCTCTGGAGCCCGCGGACACTCCTCCACCCCTCACAGATTCAGGTTAGACACACTAAACTAGATGTAATGATCCCCAAAATTTTCAAGTTCCAGCCTAGCCATTGACACAAATTCTACGATACAGTAGAGGAAATGATTTGGGTTTGAATAGTCACAACAAAAACTAGATGCTTATTCAAGTTTAAGCCTTCATGCAAGTACAGTATTGTTACACGATGGAGTAACATAATTGTATCTGCTTGTTCAGAGTTTTATCCCACAAGTCCCCAAAACTTTGAAAACCAATCAATTAATTGCCTGACAGAAGAAATATTTTGCATAATTCTCCTTTCTCACTCTTAGAATCACCAGAATTTACAAAATAGGCTCAATGTTTCTATCAGTGTGACCTGAAAATAGTGAATGAGCTCGTGAACACATCAGGAAAGTATTTACTGAGGTCATAGCTGAGGGTCATTTCGCCACAGACTTCTACATAATCTTTATATAACCAAAGGTACCACCTCTGGTGGTCATTAAAAAAAATTATTCAGGATTATTCTGACCCTGGAAGCTGGGTCCATTTTGTATTCTCATAACTTCCAGCACTTCTGTTTTATCTGGTTTTTCCCAAAATTTAAAGCACCTCCTGAACGACTCCCATTTTTCCAGTTTCTTTCTCCCAGAGATGTTCATGTACCTACACGCTTTACTATGAATAGTCAGAGTACATGCATCAGTTTTATTTTTCATCTAATGTCACTTTGAAAGTCTTTGCACAGAAACAGATAAATCTTTATTTCTTTTTGTTAGACAATCATATAACTGCCTGATCTTTAGTTGGATAAAACAATCCATTTGGTCACTTCTGGGAGTAACTTAAAACCTTTTTTCAGGTAGCAAACTTGCAAACAGCGGCACATAAATGCAGAGAAAAACCTCTGAGCATGTTACTGTGCATCAGTTTTCATCTAAATAAATGTTCTCTCCTGTTATAGGAGCGCCTCCTCCATCACATCGAGACCCCCTCCTCCACCCAGAGCTGCTTCGTAACACCCACACACACCGACAGCAGGAGATCCTCAGAGGCCTGGCTCAGCTCCGCCAGGTAACACACGCAAAAAAACCCACACACAAGGTGTCCTTACAGAGAAAACCCCAACAATCAAACAACCTGCTGTGAGCAAGCGCTTGGCAACAATGGGAAGTAAAAACTCCCTTTTAGCAGGAATAAACCTAAAGAACCAAGCTCGGGGAGGGGGCAGCCATCTGCTGGTAGGGGGTTGGGGGAGGGAGACGGGACAAAAGACACAGTGTGAAAGAGAGCCAGGAAGTAATCATTCTCCGACTTAGTTATGTCAGGGTCATCATTCATTATTACTTACTAATAATGTATGATGACCCTGAAACCAGGGTTGGGTTGGTGGTCTTGTTACAGAGTCTGTTAGAGTTTCCGCCAGTGTATTACAAACCCAGCCATCTGCCGCTCTCCTCAGTAAATTCAGTTGCCTAAAAATGAGCAGAATAGTTTCCCCGTCACGCCTGAGTTGATCCACATGAAGACGATGATGAGTGATGAGCATCCTCACCTGTACAAACTGTGTTTGTGTGCTCTCAGGGTTTGTTACTGAAGCAGCGGGAGCTAGAGTCAGATCTGAATCCTTCCCGGAAGCATCACGACGAGCACCGGATTCCCTCAACATCACACCGCACGTGACCTCCGACCTGTGTCAAATAAAACCTCAGCACTCTCATGTGAGTGCATTTATTTTGATACTACAGAGTCCTTCAGACTTGATGACCTCAGGAGGTCCAACCCTTGAGGGGACAGATGATCAGCGTACTAAAATGTCACAAATCAGCAGTTGACTCCCCTGCACCTATGACCAGGAGATACACAGTTTAGTTTAACAGTGAAACAGTAACAATCTAACAATGAGTTCAAGCAGATTAACCCCTGAATGAGTCACTCAGTGTAATTCTCCATAAACTCTTCTTCCCACTGCACAAAAAGGAAGAGTAAATATTCCAGAGATGGTTGTAGCTCTCATGAGCTGCTCGATTATAGAAAAACCCAAATTAAATCATTATTTTTCTTAATATTAAATTTATTTAACATTGGGGACACAGCGATGTTTTAAATTCTGTTAAAGCTGAAAGCTGAAATTGCAATGTTGCTTGTCTACTAGCAGGATTCTTGAAAATGTTCTGGTTGGATAGGCATACAAAGTTTGCCCTTTTCTTGGGGGTCATTCTAAACCAGGGAATTTTTTTTTTTCCTGGTTTATAATCGTCCTTAAAAAAATGCCTTTAAAAAAAAAAAAAAAAAAGAAGCCAGGAGATGGAGTACTGAACTACAGGTGTCATGTTTTAATTAAAAAAAAAGCACAATAGTAATAAAACAGAGTTAAGAAAAATGTTCATGCTGCATAAAAGCTGAACTGGTGTGAATATGTCAGAGTAAACTCATCCCTCAGAGCTGCAGAGGGGAGTGGTCCACGAGTCGGACGCCGCGGTGGCTGAAGCTCAGAGCTAAAGACTCTCACGGGAAACTGACCGTCCAGCGCTCTGCAGGTGTACTTGAATGCAACGTCCAGCGCTCTGCAGGTGTACTTGAATGCGACAGTGAACCAGTGATGTGGACGTGGGTACTGAGCAGATATGAAAGCCTGATGATAATCGTTTATCTCTCTGTTCAGCTTGGAATCATAGCTAAAGATGAAATCCTTTGTAGTATCGAGGCCCCACCTACAGACCACCAACAAGGGGTGGCCTTAGACTGTATATAAAAGATGGACATAGCCACTGTGACATCACCCATTTGTTAGCTGATGCTTTTGAAACTAGGCATTGCAGGTGAGGTGTGGATGTAACTAAAATGCTCGGCGGGTATGACATGTCACATCCGCCTTAAAAAACTTTATCCTTTTTTTTTTTTTTTGACTCTGGTGACCATAAACATGCAGTCTTCAGTTTCAGTTATGTTTTTAATTACTTAAGGTTGGTGCTCAACATGACTTTTAGACATTTTTACAGTTAGTTCTACTTAAAATACTTGAAGCTTTTACTTGCCCTAAAGAAGATTCTTTATTAACAGGTTGCTAACAAGACAACAGAAGCTGTCGGGGAACATTAAGTCTAATCAAGCCAAACACAGGAGCTCAGTGGCCACGCCCCTAAAGTCATGTAACTGTAGTGTAGTCTGTTTTGAGTTTAACAGTAAAATTAGTGAATTTTACTCGTCTTTCTCACAGAGCCTGTTATCTGCAATAATCGAAACCCGAGCTGTAGCAATGCCAGCTTCTGTATTGATCACCTGTGTTGGTTTCACCTCTCAGACCTGGATGTCCATCTTTTACATACAACTCATCTCTGCTGAGGTTGGTGGTTGAGTTTCATTGTGGGTTACGTTGGGAGCTGATTTTGGAACAAGACGGCAGAATGAGGTGACGTATATCATCCTGAGGCCTCAGTTTATTTTTGCTGTGTTTTTTGTTCGTTCCTCACAAGTCCATGAGTTAAAGTAAAAAATCTGTCCCTTTTCTCTGAGGGAGGCTGTTAGATTTCACAGCCTGGTGGGAAAATTTATCAAATTTTAGTGGCTAAAACTTCAAATATGAGGTTTTCTCTAAGAGATGCAAAAGTTAATTCAAACAGACAGCACTGAAACTGAAACGCCTCCTCCAAACGAGAAGTCTTTCTCCTGCTGCTCACTGGCTGAGTTTCTTGGTGAATTGCTTAAATGAGGAACGTATTTGAATGTTTTTAAATGCACTTTTTTTATAAGAACGACACGGTATCTGACAACTGTTGAGGTTTTCCATTTTTTTCCTGCAGAGAAGTGAGGAACAAATGTTTCTTTATTTTCTGCTGCCTAAGAAGCTCTGTGTTTCTGTGTGATTTTCATTGTGCTGATGTATTTTTTAATTTATTTTAAATGTAATAAATGTTTGGAGACCTGTGGTTTATACTGACTTATTTCTTTTATGCATAGTTAGTTAAAACGTGCTGACACCAGTTCATTCTGGTCAGATTCATTTTTGTTCTGGTTTGGGTCCCTGGTTCTGAGACAGTTTCACATAATGAGGTAAGTATGTACAGTAATCCCTATGAGCCAGAAGCTCAGGCTGGAGAGTACTGTGAAGAGTTTCAGGCAGTAACAGTGAGGGAATATCTCTAATAATATGGGTCATCTCCAACACACAGCCCTTCTTCGAGTTGAATCCAAACTGACTGACACTGCGCCGGAAGAGTTGTCTGTGAGTCTGGGTTAACGTATTTAAACAGTGTGTAAACACATGAAGCATTCAGGACTTTGGTAGCTTGATGTCTTAATGGTAAATAATATCAACATCACTGTGGCTTCATCCACCTGTTACACTATGTTTGGAATTACTGACACCAGTGACTGGTGGAGCTACTGCGTGATTTTCGCAGGCAGAAAGAGCGCCACAGCAGCACTGTGCAAGAGGAAAGGGAAAAAGATATCAGTCAGAAACTTTGGAAAACCTCAACATTAATGCCGACTGTTAGAACTGCATTCAGAGAACAAAGTTTTATATAACATTTATTATTTTAATACAAAAAAAATCTGATATAAAAAAAGAAAACATAAAAAATGCTTTAAGTTAAAACCGGTCCACTCCAGAGTCTCTCCCTACATAAAATTTAACACAAACAGCTCAGAGTGTAACAACCAAAACACTCTGTACAAACTAAACTTTTTTACAGGATATAAACATCGTCCACAGGTTACTCTGCAGTGCCATTTTCCACAAAGACAAAACATCTTCACAACAAAACAAAAACTTTACTTATTAAACGTTCCCAGAGTGTGAAACTGGTGCGTTCAGGGAATCTGGGAAAATGGGACTACCACACAGTAATAAGAGTCACACTTAAGGTCCAGATGATACTGATTTAAATAAGACCATTCAGTCAGAAACTGTCCTGTGTCCACATCAGTACTGAATTCTTCTGTGACTGAGGTACACCAACTGCTGTGCTTGTTTTTTATCTCTCAATCATGTCCAAAAACTGAGAAAGGGCTTCATCTTTCAGTGTTTTTCAAACAGACAGACATATATTTGGTGCTTTTTGAGGTTTTTGTAGGCTGCAGAACTTCAGTAAGAGACAGAAAGTAGTTGAGGACAACATTTTTTGATCTGATCTCAGACTGCCAGCCATCAGAGACAAATGTTTCAGACATTTCAGTCACTCTTAGGTGCATAAAACAACTACAGGAGGGTTTGACAGTCAATATTTTTATGTGAGAAATAACATTTTCACATTTTTGATGTTTTAAATGAAAAACATTAGAAGCTTGATTTAAAAGAAAACTTATTGCTGATTCACACATTCACATATCTCCTGGGGTTTAAGAACAGTCCTGCAGGAGTACAGGTTGAATAAGTTTGTGTTTTTAAGTTTGAATACTGTACAAAGACCAGCAGCACTGATATAAAATTAGTGTGCGGCATTTTCAAGACACGGTCTTGCACATAATAATGATGAGCCCTGACTGACAGAAACATGCAGATTCTTTGACCTCGTGGGATGATTCAGGATCAGAAGCAGACTATACAAACCATCTGAAGCTTGCATAATTTAAGACTCTAGTTTTACCCACTTTTGAACCACAAACAACATGAATTTTTTTGTGGTGCAATAACCTGGCTAAAACTATGGTCTTTTTTGTTTTGTTGTTGGAAACAGAGTGTGGACACCTGTCAGAGTTTGGCCTGTTCAGACTCCTGGCTGTTAGTTTTCTGGGGTCATAGTTTAATCTGCTGGTTGTCTACATCCCATTAAAGCCTCCTCGCTGCCCCCCTCTGTACCTGAAGCCGCCCGGGCCTGCAGGGCTGTGGTACCCTCCCAGCAGTGAAGGACCCGTGAAGTCCATAGCTGCCTGCTGGAAACCCCAGACCAGGGGGACAGCACCTGCAGGGCCTAAACCTCCAGGCCACAGGGGTGGCTGCCCCAGGAGGCCCCTGATTCCTCCCAGGGCATTCAGGGGCCCCAGCATGGGGGCCCGGTGAAAAGGCTGTCCGTGGACTCGAGGTAGGTGGGGGTGAAGGAGACCAATGCCCCGCTGGCTGGGCGGTTGGTACTGCAGGTGTGTAGCACCCTGCTGCTGCTCGCTCACATGTTGCTGAGGGTGCTGGATTTGTAGTTGGGGCAGAGCAGGATGTGAGACACTCTCGTGGTTTGTGACCGAGGTGATGTTTCCAGGTACCTCACTGTTGCCTGGTGGTGCTGCCTCTTCTGTTATTGGCTGTTCATAGCTGGCTTTTGTTTCACTACAGAAAGAGAAGCAGAAGAAGAGACTGAGCAGGAACAGGACTATCAGAGGTTGAAAACTGAAATCAGCACAGCTTTTATGGATGCATGTCAGCATCACATGGAAACCTCTGGGCCACAAAATGAAGTGTACACAGAAGTGCCAGAAAGTGCAGTTGCACTAAGGGCCAGTTGCGGCTCTAAAGGTAAGTCGAATTATTCTGTTTTATTTTATATGAATACTCGAACAGTGTTAATATTGCAGTCATATTACAAACTGACCTGTAAAAAAAAAGAGCAGGACTCAAACCAGCGTGTTATGTTACCTTGTTCTGTCCTCGCCCTCTGCTGGACAGGTGGTGCAGGGCGGTGCACTACTTTCGTCTGCTTTGGAAAACGCAGGCTCTCCGTGTTGATCTGCTTCGCCGTGTGTCTGATTGCTCAGCGCTGTCACTACAGCTGCGTTCTGATTGCTCGGAAAGGCTGGCG